TTTCGGTTTGGCTCGATGAAATTCAAGTAGAAATCATGTCCTCTGACAGACATGGTTTTGATTCATAACTGCGCGCATGAGTGTGGCAAGTTCAGGCCGCAACCGTTCGCGCACACTCCCTCGGCAGAGACTGTCGCAGTCTCGTCTATCATTCTAGAGCTTCCTGACCATGTTCATTTTCAAAATAATCTGCTTTGATGCAGATGACAAGGTGCAGATGAGCATTGACCGTGGCTTCAGCCCGCAGGACCGGGCGAAGCCAGATGATCACATGCCTCGCCGTGAGAACATTTTTTGCAAGCTTCACCTGCTGATAGGATGACACTGGACGAAACAGTAGCCGTGCAATTGCAGCTGGCATTATCCAAGGGTCCGTAGCTTATGCTGTGCAGTCTGCATCTTCTCAGAGCCGGCTGCGCTGAACTGAGTTTGCGACCTGTAGCTGAAACCCCCTCGCCCGAGACTGCCCGCAACTAAGCTGTCAGCGTGCAGCCTGCTTTCAGCAACTTTCAACGTCACGTGTCCTTGGCTGCTTTGCGCAGGTGCAATCCAGTGGAATGCACTCCCAGGCTAAACGCAGCACACAGCCGACATGCTAGCGTAGAACACAGTACATGCAAGCAAGGTATCCGTAGCTGCTGATGACCAGGTCTCTGAGTCAAAGACCATTGAAACCACCACGAAGGGGTCATGACCTCGAGGTCGAAAATTTATTGGCATATCACGTGCTTTTGGAACTCAGGCTGCGGGTGCATCCAGGCAGCTGTCTTCCAAGTGCACCATCACTGGAGGCAAGCATTTGGACGTCTCTGAACAGCCCATGTTCCGTTCCTGCGCAGGCCCAGAGTAGCATTGTCACTCTACCAGCAGAGGCGTGGATCATGGCCAGTTCTGGGACAGCTGCAGAAACTCTAATTGCATGCAGCTGGTTACCCAGATCCTCCTTGTGGAGCAGGATGCTGGAACATCAGGGCAGTCGCTGGTGGAAGCCATTGTGCAAGCTGAGCGAAAATCTTGGGACATCCGCAGTCAGTGCTTCCAATCTTCAATACAAAGTGGCTCAGGCTGCAGTCCGTGGGGCAATCCGCGGCGGGCAACAAGGTCAGTTCCCAAGTTGCAAGCTCTGATGCCCCCACCTGGCCTTCAGTCGCCTGCTTCGAGAGCAGTTCTCAGCGAGGAGGAGGGACGCAAAAAGCGGTGCAGATGTTACTATGATTTGGTAACCGGTGTGCAGATGATTTTGCTCATTTATTTTGGACAGGCTGAATGCTAGACATGCAAAGCGGGCTGGTCCAACAATGAGGTACTGCTCATTCAGAAACAGCACCCGCATATGAACAGCCTGCCCTCTGCCGTAGGCAATGCGTTGACCACAGAATTTTACCACGGGGGCATCCTAAAGCTGAATCTGAGCAAGCCTTCCTGATCATAAAACCTGAAACATGAGGGTTTTAAGACAGTGCGTAAGAGGGCGCTTCTCCAACCCCATGCCCGTGAAATCACTGAGTTTGAGTCTCAGGATGATGCTGGTGCCGAAAAGAGTTTCCACAAGATGCTGCATGATCAGTCAGCCCCCCATGCTTTTCCAAAATTTGTGTGTCCTTCCTGATCTGCGTGCAAGATAAGGCTGGCAGAGCTGCACTCAGTAGAAGATGAAGAGGTCAAGGCTCTCAGCTGTTTCCTGTCTTAGATGGGATGTGCATCGCGAGCGTCGTTAGAGTGTAGAGCCAAGGATGCTGCGGATGCTGAGGTGGCTCAGGTTCGACTGATCCGACTTGTATACTTGCTGCAACATGCTCTCTATTTGGACCTAGCAGTCTTTGAGGTGCTTTCCAAAGCATGCTCAACTACGTGGATGGAGGCCTGAAACACATGCTGCACGGAACCCACCAAGTCTCAACAACCCCACCACCTCAAGTACAGGAGCGATGCGCTTCCATACCCCCTGGACGGCAGTCAGGACGCACGTTGTTGCCAGCATTGTTGCTAATATGAATAGGAGTGGTAGGAGCAGTAAACGGAGTGTTTTTCTGGGATCGGGTCGTGCGTTGGCCCTGAGACTTGTGAGTAAGCCTGATGTCTCGATGAAAGGATTGTCTCCTGTGGCAGAGATTGCCTGTCCTCCGGCAAGTCCACTATCAAACGTGGAGGACTGGTCGTTGCAGAGCTGGGGGGTTGCAACTTGCCTTGCGCCTTTTTGCACCCATGCCGGCTGAAGTACCAAGGAGGCCTAATTAGAGATTCATGCACCAGGGATTTCAGGTCTAGGGAATTGCAATACTTCTCAAACTTGGACTTTGGGGGTATTCGATTCAAGCTGCAGGATTTGATTAGGACTGCTGCATATTGCGGCGAACACGCAGCAAATATGATCTTGCCAACATCTTGTGCAGTGTGAGCGACACGCACTGATTACCATCGCCGGCCTCGCAACAGAGCTTCAGCACCCCTGACACGTAGGGGTTTTGGGTTGGGAGTAGATTTGTGTAGTGGACAACTGTCCACCTCAGTGATGCGCACTGCGGCACCTCTTCTACTGCCCTTGACAATTTCAACATGCGCAATTTCATAGGTTCGAACACCCAGAAGCCCTGTGATTTCCCGAAGGCATGAGGCAACCAGTGAGGCTCCAGGACCCCTTTGTTTTGAGGAGGAGTGGAGGTTTCGGTGGAATGCGTAGGATGGGGGTGCCACTTTGAGATCTTTGCAGCGCTTTGTTCGGTTTCCAACTTGGTGCGGCCTCAGACCCTGAAACAAAACATTCCGAGTGCATGTGCCACTGAAAATGATAGCATTTTAATGTGCTCCTTGTCACAAGGTAAGTCAAAACGAGCTGATGATGTCAATGCTGCTGGGCAGAGCTTTGCTTTACCCAGCCCAGCTGATGCTCATGATGCTGGGCCGGTTTGGGGAGGTTGGCAAAAACCCAGCCCAGCTGA